TCCTCATGGGTTGTCCTGGGTTTGTGGGTCGGGTGACCCAGGCCTAGCACTCACCCACCTGTCACCCACCCACTCGGGTGACCCAGGCCTAATGTTGACCCAACTGTCACCCACCCAGGCTGCCTGGCCTTGACCCACCCTCATCCCACCCAGGTCACCTTATCAAGACCCGCACCTGACCCAATGTCCTCGTGGGTGGGGTGGGTGCAGGTGGGTGCGGGTCTGGGTACCCGGTGCTCATCTCTGATGTGGAGATTCATCCGGCGAGAGGTAGATCGGGGCGCGACCTACATAGATGATCTCTACCGGCTGTATGAACAGCCCAAGGAGGCTACTGCTCCCAGGGGTATAGAGGGATAGTTGGGACTAGAAAGGGAAATGAAAACACGAAGGACAAGGGGGCAGTAGGTAGACGGTTTCTAAGGATTGGCTGTAACACTTTCTATGTGGATCATGCAGAAAATCACCAAGGTAACCATGGCAGCAAGACGTGAGCATATGGAACTTCGGGCCCGTGTGCGAATGGCGCGCCAACCCCAGTACCCCGTACCACCGTGGAATAACGGTGGACGCTAGGAAGTATCCCTCCCGTCGAGTTCAACTTATCGGGGGTTCGATATAGAATGGCGGGCTGTGACTTTGGGGAGGGACGCCGCCTTCATGTTGGTAGAATGTCGGTGGACAGGGATGAGACTCGACCGAGGACCCGGGGACGATCTGTTTTCCAATCTGGAAGTTACCGGGACCATGTACCTGCCTGAGATCGGCTGGCACTCATTGGGGGTAGAGATAGCACAAGGTCACGAGCTGGCGCCGATTTTTCAAAGGGCCGCCCAGACATTGACCCGAATAGGACAATCAGTCAGGGGTAGAAGGAACGTGGGCTTACTTACCCGGGTGGAAATAGGGGGATGGCATGAATTCAAAGCGCCAACCACGCCGCTGAGGTGCCGGGTCCCCCGTTTTATGATAGATCTCGTCTTCGGGAGCCTCGCAAGGGCGCGAGAGCTGGCAGACTCGGCAATAATGTGGGCAGACCACTTTCCCTCTCTAACCATCGGGATGTTCTATGATGTCGCCGTGAGGCATGGGCCGTTCTGGGGAAACAGGGCCCACGACTTACTGGAGGTCATCCAGATCCTGATATTTCGTGTGCCCTTGCTAGACCAGGCAGGGCACAAACGCATAATCCAAAGGGAAATCGAGATAGGGAAGAATTATCTAACGGGGGTGGCTCAACTATTCGAGGAGCCTACTGAACCAGAAGAGTCGCGAGGGCGAGAGCGGGACTAGCTTCCGTAGATGAGTCAATAGGGCAGGTCAAGTATAGTTCGCTGCATACGGAAGTTCGCCGACAGGGATAAGAGAGGGGCCTCGGACCCGGATGGCTAAAACCCATTAGGAAAACAAAGAAGGGGGTAGACTCCTAATGATTGACCACAACACTGAAGGTCAAAAATAGGAAACACTGCTTGGAAAGACTTTCCCTAGCAGGATGCCTAACCCGGACTCCCTCGCATCAGCCTGACGGGACAAGGGCACTACAAACAGGCTTGTGATAAAGGAAGCCAAGTCACGCTCATAGCTCGGCTGAGCGGCAGGGCCAGTCGTGGCTCCTCCTTAAGGAAGGGCAATCAGGAAACGAGGATGGGAAAGGAGGCTATACAGATAAGCCAACAGGGTTGGGAGCCTAGGAAACCTAAAATGCCTCGCATTGCGTGTGTCCTGGGAATTCTTTTGCTTATGCAGAACTAGGCGAAATGGCAACGGAGGAGGAGACAGATAATCATAAGAGTGAAGAAGAACCGGGCTTAGGAGGCAGTGCCGCACAAAGCGAAGGGGGGCAGAAGGACAAAGAATCGATAAATCCGAATGGTACCAAAGGGAACCGAAAGGAGATCTCCACAGGGGAAAGTTCGGGGAAAGCTGGGGGAAGTAGGCAGGGGACTCAGGGGACCAAGGAAGGCAGGAATAAGGATAGGACAAACCCCGGGAACTCGGAGGGAGCCGTGTCTAAGAAAGTAAGAGTCATGGATACGAGGCGCAGACTAGCCGAGATAGACAAAAGGACCGCGGAATACAAGGCGAGATTGATTGAGGAAATGATGACTGGGAACGAAGAAGGCTCTCTGCAGGAGGAACCCCGGGACGAACGGAGAACCGACCGAGGTGGGACTGGACAAGGGGATAAAGGTAGTGACCATGGGGGAACGCCGAGCAAAAGAAGGAAAGAAGGGGAGAACTCTCCGGGGATGGACGCGGAAAAGGCTACGACCCCGCCAGCCATAGATAGTAGGGCTAGCCGCCTGCCGACCGCGCCAGCAGTGACGCGAGGGTGCGAAGGACTCTAGAGCCTTAGGGAAAGAGTGTTGGACCCAGAAGGAACTACGAAAACCAGGGAGGGACAGAAGGCCGGCAAGGAAGATCCGGATAACAGTGTGACAGGCGAGGCCAGCAGCTCCGAGGGCGGCCTTAAGAAGATAGTGTCGTCCCTCGCGCGAGCACTAAACAAAAATCAAGGCTACCTAGCGGATGCTAAGAAGAAGTTGACGTTTGATGGGGCGAACATCATGCAATTCATGATAGATTACGAGAACCTGGGTGCGTTGTTTAAATGGACCGAAGAGGAGAAGATGGACCACCTGGGACAGCATGTGTCTTTGAGCCTAGGACGGGACATAATGGCCATCGTAGCCGCAAGCCGGTCTTGGAAAGAAACCCGGGATGTGATGATGAGAAAGTATTTGGCAACATAAAAGATGGCAACAGAGGCCGATTTAGCGGCAGTCCAGAGAAAGAACTTCGCAACGTACAATGACTTCCTACGGGAGTTTACTTTGGTAGCACTAAGAATCCCCGGGGCTACGGATCGAATAATGAGTAAGTATTTCCTCAGACAGTTCTCCGAGTTCGACAAAGACAAGATCCTGTCGGCTTACCAACAAACGATAAAATTTGTAAACACCAGGGACATTGATTTCAGTACGGTAACGGATCTGGCCGAAAAGACGGTAGTGACCGAGACATTGGCCTTGCTTAAGGAAGGGGAGACTATAGACTTGACCAGTAGGACGGGCGACAAGGTGAAAAAAGGGATTGAAAGTCTACACGAACGGGTGCACGGAGCCGACAACAAGATTGAAAGGATGGAGAGCGCGTTACTAGTTATGCAGGCGCAAGTATCCCGTCCCCCCCTCCCGCCCCAAGAAGCAGTAGTTCCGCCAGGAGTGGCCAATCGTGGGTTCGGATGTAGAAACCCTGCTAACGAGCAATGCAAGTACTGTACCGCGATAGGACATTATGTGCACGCATGCCCAAAGCTCAACCATGATATTATGAAAAGAAGGTGTACCAGGTCATTAAAGGGGGAGATATTTAGACCACGAGGGTAACGGGTGAACTGGAACTCGCCAGGAGGGATGCGGCGAGCCATTATCATGCTCAACGGGCTAGAAATAACAGTCGTAGAAGCCGAACTGGTGGGCGAGATCATCTGGGATCAACGTCAAGGGCGCGGGCCGCAGACCAATTTTATTTTGGAAAACGACGGACGTGATAGGGTGAACGCGAGTACTCGGCTAGGGACGGCTGGGAGAAGGATTAACCACGACACCGTGATGGAGGAGGTTGCTGGAAGTTCGGAACCCCAGGCAGAGCCTGAGGCCGAGGAACCGGAAAAGGTCTATGGGAAACCTAGGGAAGAGGAGCCTGCCGACAAAGTTTCCGCTGCCACGAAGATGTTTAGGTACCAAATCCCGATCTTATCCTTACCTGAGATGGACGACACCATTAGCAAGTTACTAGGGACCATGGTGTCGGTGTCTTTTCAGACTATGCTGCAGGCTAGCCCTAGGTTGCTCAAAGGGCTTAGACAACTGTTGACCCGGCGGCGAGTAGAAATAGGCGACAACCCCGAACTACCTGAAGGGAAGAGGGAGGAGGAAGTTCCGCAAGAAGTGGCTAACCTGCAGAGGAGTCGCGGGGACTTGGAGGATCTCGAGAAGGCCTTTGCAGACATTCGTTTGAGCTTGCCCGACCGAGAGGGCGGCGAAGTTATGAGATCGCCACCCGGGACGAAGCTTAGCTTTCATGCGCTACCCGTAAGGAAATTGAAAATCCAGATCGGAAGTCATCACACCGACGCATTAGTAGATGAGGGGGCAGAAATCACCCTTATAAGAAGAGATTTCGCAACGATCACGGGATGTACGGTAAACAAGGAAGTAACAAGGAGCATCTGTGGAGCTGGCGGGGAAATCTCGTTCGCTGGGTACGTCACGAAGTGTGCTGTAAAGGCAGGGGTCAGGGAATCAATCTGGTCATTTCAGCGGATGACCATAGTGGAGGAAATGGATCACGACATAATCATCGGGAGACCGTGATGCGCGAACGTAGAGATGATAGGCATGCACTTGCACGATGACTCATACATGGTAGACATAGAGGACCCGGTGACCGGCCGGGGAGAGCTCCTTCGACTCCTTGGAACGGGAGGAGACCCCCCGAGGGGGTAATTGGCAACATGGTCGCCGTCATTCGAGGATAGCACGCGAAAAGGGGTTTTCGCACGGATGGAGGATATGAGAGAAAGGGTAGAAATCATGATTGAGGAAGCGTTCAACAAGAAGGAGTGGATCAAGATGGGCCTGCCCGAGAAGAAGAGGAGGCAGGAGGACGAAGTCTCAGGTGTTATGGTAGCAGAAAAAGAGTCGGAGGTCGAACGTGGTGCTAGCCTGCCCAAACGGAAAGAAGTGCGAGTAGACATGCCGGAAATTGCACTCGAGATCCCCGATCTATTGCAACTCATCAAGGCCCTCAGATACCACAAGGTAGGAGTGGATTCGGCAGCCTTGGCCAAGTTCGAAAGAGAGGTGCAAAAGGGATATTGCCTGAATGGGAAATTAGTTAGTATTCAACCACAAGTAATAGAGGCGACGGGGGCAATTCCGGCTGTTCATTTTTTAGGAGAAAGATCCCGGAAGGAAGTGTTCGAAAGTACAAGCCGGTAGGGAAGAAAGCAAAACCGGTCTCGATCCTGTTAGAGACATCAAAGGAAGAGGCTGTGGAGAAGGAGGAAGAGGTCCTTCGAGTGATCCGAGAAAGAAGGGCGACGGAGGGACATCGGATACCAGATGAGGTAGCGGACACAATGAAGATAGGGATAGACGGGTTCCTAACGGAAGAAGAAAACCGCCTGATCAAAAGGACCTGCCAGGAATCTCATCTGGCGTTTGCCTTTCGTGATCTCCAGAAGGGACGACTGGATGCGAAGTTGATCCCTCCGGTCAGAATCCACACGGTAGAACATGAGTGCTGGAATGACAAGGGGACATCCTATGAATTTGGGATAGCGGGAGAGGTAACAGACCTCCTCCGGGCGAAGATGGACTCCTTCGTTGTGGAGCGTACGGCATCGCCATACGCAAATCGGTGGTTCGTTTTTCGGAAGCCTAACAAGACACTAAGGTCGATTCAGGACCTGCAGAAGTTGAATGCGGTAACCATCCGGGATGCTGGCTCGCTACCTTAGGCTGACTTATTAGCAGAATCGCACGTCGGTCGGAGCATTTACTCCCTGATAGATCTGTACTCAGGGTACGACCAGCTTCCATTGGATGTTCGGGACAGGCCATACACCGTTATGCACACCCCCGTAGGCCAGCTACAGATGCAGGTGACACCTATGGGATTCACAAACGCGGTGGCCGAAGCCCAACGCAGGATGCTCACCGTGGCCGGGGACATCTTCCCAGAAAAATGTGAACCTTACATCGATGACAATCCGATCAAAGGCGCGCAGGAAAAGGACGAGACGAAAGTCCAGCCAGAGATCCGACGTTTTGTGTGAACCACCTGCAGGACATCAAGGACTTACTCCGTCGGTTCCTAGTATACAACATTATGGCTAGTGGACAAAAGAGTATCCTAGCAGTACCAGAGATAACTATACTAGGATTTAGTTGCGGTGCTTACGGCAGGAAGCCGGATCCGGCAAAGACCGACAAGATATCACAGTGGCCGACACCGCTGCGCACGGCGACGGAGGTAAGGGCATTCCTAGGCGTAGTCGGCTTTTGGAGGATCTTTATTAAGAACTTTGCCAAGATTGTTGAGCCTATCCGGGCTATGATCAGGGAAGAAGGAACCATGGATTGGACGGAGGAGCGAGAAGGAGTTGTCCAAAGGCTCAAGGACATATTGACATCTGAGACAGTCACCCTGTTCGCGCCCTGTTTTAATGACGAAGTGGGACGACCCTTCATCCTAGAGACGGATGGAGGACCTTTGGCCGTAGGAGGTGTGTTGATTCAAAGGGATGAGGGAGGAAAAGAGAGACCGATTAGGTTCGAAAGTAGAACCTTGAACTCCGCAGAACGGCGGTACTCGCAATTCAAGAAGGAAGTCCTAGCCATCCTGCATTGCCTTAAGACCTTCCAGGCCTACCTATTTGGGAGACGGTTCATCTTAAGGATCCATCCGACGAATGTCGCAGGGGCCCTAAAGAATTACAGGCCTATAGATCCGACGGTAGGGAGATGGGTAGGATTCATCTGGCAGTTCGATTACAAGATCGAACGGATTGCTGGAATCCGCAACAAGGCAGATGGGCTGAGTCGGGTTTCCCGAAGGGATGGAGGATGCAGAGCCCATAGACGCCTTCCTCGAATACGAAGGAGGAACTCTTGCGGTGGATAACGAAATGATAAGCGAGGGATGCACATCGGGAGAACTATTGATCCAGACTTTGCAGAAGGGGGCACCTGCCGTAGTAGCTGAACTTAGGGAAGGTCCAGTTACCACTCGAGGACGCAGAGAAGAAAATGACTCATGGAAAGCGATAATAGGACCGAAGGAGAAGCTGATAGCAATGGCGGTCGAAGGGGGCCGCGAAACAGTCATGAGCTTAGTGGAATCCTGGGAAAGGAAAGAGTTGCAATGGGTGGTAAATCAGATGCAGGAAGGAAAGGATGGGGGCAAGGAAGGAGAGGAGTTTTTCTATGTCCAATCATACAAAGGGCTCTTTCGGGAGATCGGTTTGTTGTTGGTAGGAAACAAACAACCTACGGAAGTCAGTATTAAGGCAAGAGAAGAAGTCGAAAGGTACGTCCTAAGGGGCGGGCATTTGTTCCGGAGGGAGGAAGGTGCTATGCCCAAAAGGGTTGTGTGCGGAAGGTCTAGGCAAGAAGACGTTATCCAGGCAACGCACGACGGGTTAACGGGAGGACATCGATCTTCCAAAGGAACACTTGCAAAGATAACGCCGCTCTATTATTGGCCAGGCATGGCAGCCATGGTCGCCATATACTGCCAGACTTGCCTTATTTGCCAAGAACGAAGCTCGGTACGAGTCTTCGAGCCGCTTAGACCAACGCGGGTGCTAGGGCCGGGACATCTGGTCCACCTCGACCTTGCGGTGATGCCTGTATCAAAGGATGGATACAGGTATATCCTAGATGCGCGAGACAACTTGAGTGGGTTCGTGGAGGCAGTCGCCCTCAAGAAAAAGACAGGGAGGAGTGTGGCGGACTGGATAGAAGACTTCTACTTAAGGCACCCGTTCGTCAGGAGGTTTATAGCAGACAATGGGACGGAATTTGTGAACCAAGAAGTATTGGGGATGCTTAAGAGACTTTGCGTACCGATCAAACTCATCAAGCCGTATCACCCTGAGGCCAATGCGCCAGTGGAAAGGGGGCACCGAACCTTGAAGAACACGATTGCAAAGCTCGCAGCAGACCATCTGGGGAACTGGCCTAGGTATCTTAAGCAGGCTGTTTTTGCAGAGAATATGACTCCTAAAAGGACAACAGGATGTATCCCGGCAGAGCTTTGGTACGGAAGAGAGATCGACTTTCCTGTGGAAGCCTTGGTACCTACCTGGAATAGGTTAGATAATGATCCACAAATGACCACTGAAGAGTTAATCGAGGCAAGATATCATCAGATCCTTAAGAATGAGGAGGTCATGGAAGACATCGCCAGCCGGGTGCTGGACAGCAGAATGAGGGACAAAGCAATATGGTACCAGGTCAAGAATGTCAGAAAGGAGCCACTTCAGGTGGGGGAGATGGTACTGCTAAGGAACTCGGCACTAGAAAGTACTTGGTCGGGATAGTTGGGAAGGAGGTGCAAAGGCCCCTACCGGGTCGCCAAGCGGGTGGGACTGAACACCTTCGAACTGGAAGATTTGGATGGAACTGGATTGAAAAGGCCCTTCCCGGGGCAACGACTGGTCAGGTTTCTAAGTCGGGACCCAGTGGAACAATGGCTTCAGGAGGCCGAAGATAAGGAAACAGAAGAGCCACAGGCTAAAGACTAACCACAGCCTTGCCCACCCTATGGTTTGTCTCTGACCATGTTCGTGGGACTGTCATTTTTTTGGGACTGGTGCTTTGGCTTGGACTGACTGAGGTTGAAAGGTAGCATGACTTGGGGGTTGCAATATCTGGCTTGTGTGACAACGGGAAGGGATGTTTGGGGCATTGTACCATAGTTTCTGACGGAAAAAATATGGGGTCATCACGAACGACGCATTCGCATGTATAAAAAGGGCGTGATGCGAGGGATACTGGGTGCATTTTGGGAATGTCTACCGGCCTAAGGGGGAGGGGAGACATAAGTGTATGAGGGACATTGCGGGTGTTGTTTTGTTATACAGGGCTTAGGAGTAAAACGAGAAAAGACAAAAATGAAATTCGGCAACGAGAACGACAGCGGGGCAATCAACAGGCCTACCGGAGGGGAAAAAGTTGGACCAAGCCAAGGGAGGAGGAGAGCGAAGAGAAAATTGTACATTGGGTTCATGGGCGGGCCAGTGGTAGGCAGGGGTGGAAGGAAATGTTTGTGTAGGAAACCCTCACCCCTCCGCAAGGGAGAAGGTATAAAAATATCATCCGACAGTGAGGGCGAAAAGGGAAGGGCAAATATGGAAGAAGGAGGCAACACAGAAATGGGAGATAAAAATCGGGTCTCTAACGAGGAAGGGGCCAACAGGGGCGAACGACATGAGACTTGGCATGGGGAAAGCGAGGGGGGACAAGGTATGCGCGACGAACGTGAGGAG